TAATCGGTATTCGATTTTCGATACTGATTTACTCTTTCATTGCTCTATAAGAAAAGGAAAAATTGATACGAATCGTTCATTTATCCGCGTTAATTTTTTTTTATTATATATAAGTGGTCCATGGGACGATTAAATATTCGAATACATGTTGCCGTATCAAAGTCTCCTCTATAACATACGATTTGACATGTCTGGAGACGCATGATGTATCGTTGCCCGCATCCCATTCCCTTTGTCCTGCTTCCCTGTATAAAATGTCGAATTGAAACGTATTAAAAAGTATTGACATTTTGAATATGTCTGAATTCTGAATCTTTTTGATCCGAAAAAAAGGATTGAAAAGTATTAGTTCCCATTAAATTTTACTGCGCTTAATGCGAGACGGTTTCTTTCGCCCGGGTGCATCACCAGGGAAATTTCTCTGGTACGCTAAATCCCGTAAGGCCATCAGTCTTTGTAGTATATCTCGTCGGTGCATAAGGTTTATATTACCTGTACATACATATTTTGAAACATTTTCTTTGGATATTATATCAAACAGATTTTACGTGTCACGTAATATCCTCCGGACTACACGGCCATTATTATTTTGATCATTTTGATTTCTTTGGTATTCATTGAATTTTCCAGAACACGCAGCTACTATGTTGAACGACTCAATTGTCGTGTGAAATGTTTCGATTTTCACAAATTCATATAAAATTTTTCATTTTTCACTGATTCACAGAAGTCTTTCACTTTTTATTAGTTCACGCTAGGGAAAAGATTCCTAATCGCTGCCCCGAGCAGCTGCAACGCTTTTCGAATCACCTATGTCGGCGCGCTTTTACTCTTCAGATTTCTGTCATTAATAACAACTCGATAATTATTGCGAATCTCGCAAAATAGTATGGGACTTTTATGTTTGTCTTAACCCAATCTACCCTCACACTTCGGGTTGACAGCTAATTACCGGATACTTCGTATGATCTTTATGATATTAATCATACACAATGTCGATTCTTTTTTTTTGCACATGTTAACATGTTAATTCATGTTATAAACGCGTAATAATGTGCGAGACCGTGCTTGTCAAGTACGCTATTATGATTGTAGCACGGACATAAACCGCCTAAAATGGATGTAGCACGGACTGCCACCACATACAGGTTTTACCGCCGAAACCTGAAAGTGAATGTAGCATCGTAGTTCCCCTCTCAAAATGGATGCAGAGGGCGCCCTTTCCCACTGCGGAAAGTCGGTGTCGTCGAAAACACCGTGTTGGCCGCTCTCATATTTCTCTCTGATAATAGCATGCTTGACAAGTATGGTCTCACACATTGGGTGCATTCAGTACTACACCGCTCGCTGAGCGCTAAGTGAGCTCCTGCATCTGATTGGTGTATATTTTTAAATCTAAAGGTATATACCAATTAAATGTAAAAGCTCATTGAGCGCTCATTGAGCGGTGTAGTACTGAATGCACCCATTGGCTGCGTTCAGTTGAACAAAATGATCAGTGAGCGCTTAGTGATTCTCGCTCCTGATTGGTTCATACTTCTGGGTCTATGAAAAATCTAAAAGTATATTCCAATCACAGACAATAATCACTAAGCGCTCACTGATCATGTTCTACTGAACGCAGCCAGTGTTACGCATTTATAACATGAATTAACATGTTAACATATACAAAAAAAAAAGAATTGACATGGTGTATGATTAATATTAATATCATGAAGATTATACGAAGTGTCCAATAATTAGCTGCTAACTCGAAGTGTGAGAGTAGATTGGATTGAGACAAATATAAAAGTCCCATATCGTTTTGTGAGATTCGCAATAATTATCGGGTTATTAATGACAGAAATCTGAGGAGTAGAAGCACGCTGACATAGATGATTGGAGAAGCGTTGCAGATGCTCAGGACAGCGATCATGAATCTTTTCCCTAGCGTGAATTAGTAAATAGTGAAAAACTTCTGTGAATTAGTGAAAAATGAAAAATTTTATATGAATTTGTGAAAATCGAAACATTTCACACGACAATTGAGTCGTTCAACATGGCAGTTGCGTTCTGAATAATTTTTAATGATTATCAAAGAAATCAAAATGATCAAAATAATAATGTCCGTGTAGTCCGAAAGATATTACGTGACACGCAAAATCCGTTTGATATAATATCTAAAGAAAATATTTCAAAATATGTATGTACGTAATTGGAAGATATCAAAAACTGTTAAGGGGATCCTGGAGTCGTCTGTTTTACCGACACATTGATTCAATCTTCTCAAACACTATTCTTTTTATTAGCTGGACAGATTGGAAAATCCTTTTGTATAACGAAAGTACTTATAATAACGAAGTCCGGAGGACAAAGTTTTATGTAAAATTCAATGAAAAATTACAAAATTACAGTTTCGTTATCATATTTTGTGTCAATAAATTTTCAAATAACAAAACGTTATTTTGTGTCAAAAATAAATTAGCTCATAACTTTACTTATTAATTGTAAAAGTTCTGCAGTTTATCCATGCGAAAGCTTTTGCTTCCGGACTAGCCATAATATGAAAGAATAATACTGAAGTAACAGAAATGAGCTTAGAAGTCAGTGTAAAAAGAATAATGCTTGAGAAAAATGTAGTGCATATAGAATTGTGTTTGCTACATTTATGGATAAAACAGAACAGTAGATTAGTTCCGCATAATCATGATCAATGGTGTTGCAGGCAGACACAATCGTACTATCCTTGTCTGTTTCATGCATGGAGTAATGTTATGACAAGGAAACTATAATTGTTAAATTTTTCATTGAATTTTACATAAAACTTTGTCTTCCGGTCTTCGTTATTATAAATACTTTCATTGTGCAAAAGGATTTTTCAATCTGTACAGCTAATAAAAAGACTAGTGTTTGAAACTCTCTCCTATCATTGTTCTCTCGATCGCACGCTTATTAAGTTGCATTCACAATCAGTCGGAAGACGTTGTTATATTCCACACGTATGTCGTACACACCAATCACAACCTCACTAATGTCTTAAATTAAATTAGCTATATATATACATATAAATATATATATATAATTTAATTTATAATTTATATGTATGTGTATATATATATATATATATATATATATATATATATATATGCGAGGTGAAGCGATTGTCAAGATATTCAGTGAGCGGCGACATATATGTTCGCGCTGTCTCCTTTTCGTATTTTTCCATATATATATTTTCTCACAGACTTTGGACAAACGTGTGTGTGCTGCGTTGTCAATCCTTCTTTTCTACATATAGATCTTATATGAATGTGAATGTGACGCTGCCAATATTTTCTTATTTTCCGAAATATGCTTTTTGCTACTGTTTCTCCGATTCTTCGACTTGTTGGTATATACGATATAACATAATACAGAATAATTTATGCAATGAATAATATTCCACAGAAATAATGCTTCGGAAGATTCAAAGGGATATATTATATAATGCTGAGCTGTGAAATTTTTATGAGGATTTATAAATTTAAAATAAGTTCAATAACAGTTAAAAAAAAAATAGTACGTTAGATTTTACATGATTCGGCTGCTTACATATCGTTTCACTTTATTTTCACTCTCTCTCACACTCTCTCCCTCACCCCCTCTCTAAATTGTAAACTGTATGCGCCTAATACATCGTATGTTGGAGTCAGATATTATACATACACACACACACGCGCGCGCGCGCGCGCACACACACACACACACACACACACACACACACATATATATAATAAATACAATTTCTTCATTACCTGTTAAGGAATAAAATAGAGCAACATTTTCTAAATAATTGTTAATTTTCAAATGGGGCTCTCTCACATAATTTGCCAATTGCACTTGCAAATTATCTTCATTTTCTTCATTATTGTTTAAAAAAATATTCCACAAAAAGAAAACGTCCATGCTTTTTGTAAGAAAATAAATAACAGTATAATTTTTATATAAATATACAAATAAATTACATATTTTTTTCATCCAATATAGTAATAAATTACATCACTGTGCTTTCAACTCACCTCGACGTATATATAGCTATATGACTTTGTTCTTATACCTCTGTAAAATAAATTACATATCGTATGTTTATTTCTCCTCTTATTAAATCTTATCTAAATCCATTCTTTCATATTTCTCATAAAATAGAAAATAATCCTAAGTATCTCCCAGTCCTTATCTTAGACATTCTTGCCCATGTCAAATAAAATCCTTTTCTTCAATCCATTCTTATCTAAATCCATTTTCCTATTTATCTCATAAATTAAGAAAAGTGATAATAAAGGATAATAAAGGAAAGAAAAGATAATAAAGGATAATAAAGGTTATGAATTACTCATTTTTTTAGATTTTATTCTTAATAATATATAAATACATTAATCTCATTGATATAAGTTTAATGGAAAATAAAATGTGTGTATGTATGTGTGTATTTTATTTATGCATGTATGTAGGTACGTATATATGTATGTATGTACTTATGTTAATCATTAATACGCTCTAGCAACTCACTAAATAGCTTCAAATTTTGCGCGCTGCTCAGCCGGACACATCCACACGTTCTCCGTCACAAACGAGATTCTCTAAATTACATATTTATACATAATGGTTATGAATTATAAAGTTATAATAAAGGTTATATAAAATAAGATATAAATACATAAATTATGTCAATAAAATGTAAAGACACTAATTTAATTAATATAAATTTTATGAAGAATGAAATGTGTATATGTATGTTAATTATTAAAAAAGTAATTACGTAGTTATTCCTTTTTGTCATATAAACTGCCTGTCATATATTTTCCTTTTTTACGACAAAATCTTGCTTTGATCCGATTAATGCAAAGACAGTAACATAAATCGGATTAGTCTAGGGAATTTCGCACAATGACTCAATTGAGTACCACTGCTTGGTCCGATTGAAAATCCGATTACATGTCGTAAACACCCTCTGTCATGCGTTTTAAACCGTCAGTGGTTTTTGACATATATGTAGCTCTATGTCATTTCAGGCATGCGCTGTAGCGTAGGAAATTCTTTGGATCTCCCAGCACTGTTCACATGGACTGCCAACGAAGATGGCCGCCTTGATTCCGAGATGTACTGTGCAAGTAGCGAGTAAGATCGTTATTTTCATCTATATTTTTTGTAATAATGATTTATTGTGTTCTTTGAGGGCCCACGATATCGACATATTATAAAGCTTTCTGTCATTTCACTCACACTTTTTTATGACACATATTGATTTACAATTATATAACGATAACAGTTTGCATTTGTTGTGCTTTTCAGAGACACAAACAATATGTATCTCTGCTGTCGCGGTGCAGACAAATTTTATTCGTTATTACTCATCGGAGCCACAGATCATAAAGAATCCGACTACTGCTTCCTTAAAGAGAGGAACCGGTGGTCGTAGTTCTTTCAATGGGATAGTGTGTACATTATTTGGTGCAACAGGATTTGTTGGACGATATGTGTGCAATCGCCTTGGGAAGATTGGCACTCAGGTATATATAAAAATTACACTTTGCAAGTTGTTAGAAAGAACCACAATTACTTAAACTAATGTTTAAGCTAGCTGTCAAATTAATTTATTCAGGTAACGAAACCTATGAAAGCAAATGTTACACAGTGCTTGCTGCAGACTCCATTAAAAGCTTGCTAACAGAAATAGAACAGGTTCTGACGACAGAGTATGATGACAGACTGATGGTAGAAACTAAGCAGGAGCTATCATTCTTATCGTTTAAATGGAACATATTGCAGATGCTCACTTTGTGCCATCAATTTGCTATTAAATTCTGTCAGCAGACTTTGTGAACAGAATTTGAACCAAATACGAATAATGTCTATGGATCTATTGACAAATTCTGATCAAATCTGTCAGTAGACTATTAATAAATTATGTTTATTGGGTTATTATCACCTATTATCCCTGTTATCGTGATATCATGATATATGCAGTAGTAGCTAAATAATAGAAAGAGAAAGAGAGAAAGAGTACAATAAGATTTTTAATCAATTATTAAATTTTGTTTGTAGCTAATAATACCACATAGATGTGACTTGTATGACTGTTTACCCCTAAAACTTTGCGGAGATCTTGGACAAGTTTTGTTTCAACCATTTGATATTCATGATGAAGATTCGATAAAGAAGAGCATTAAATATTCTAATGTTGTTGTCAATATGATTGGACGAGATTGGGAAACTAAGAACTTTACTTTCAATGATGTGCATGTTGAAGCAGCCAGGAAACTCGCTAGATTATGCAAGGAAGCTAATGTTGAACGTTTCATCCATGTATCATCTTTAAATATAGATGATAAAGTAGAGGTAAATTAAATTACAACTTCCTCTTATGATTATTACATTAATCAAAATGCAATAGTGTGCGTTTATAATTTTGCTTTATCTAGAATTTATTAACTTTGTTAATGATTTTTTCATATTAAGCCAATTCTGTTGAAAGAAGGTTCCCAATTCCTTAAAACAAAAAGGGAAGGAGAGCAAGCAGTGCGAGAAGAGTTTCCCGAGGCTACAATTGTACGGCCGTCGACCATATGGGGCCAGGAGGATCGATTTCTAAATGTCTATTGTGAGATATACGGTTTAATGAGACACCAATTCAGGTAAACTAGTGGGCTAGTGAAGCGCAGGTGAACTTTTTAGCATCCCATACATTTAATGCACTATAAAGTGTGGCATCTATTTCAGAGTTCAATTATTTAACAATTTCAAAGACAATTCTTCCAAGTAACTGTCATGCATTACAGTACAGCTGTGTATTAATGTATCACAAGTTACGATTATTGCAGCATTCATGGGCCAAATGCATTTTCTTACAGAAACATACCGATATGGGAAAAAGGTGAACGTACGGAAAAGCAGCCAATAGCTGTATACGATGTTGCTGGAGGCATCACGGCTATTATAAAAGATCCTAGCACCGCCGGTAAAACTTACCAATTCGTTGGGTGCGTACGCACATAATGAATTTATACAATCATACAGTTCCTTGCGTTCTCTTTATTTTACTTTCTCATGTTAATATTATCCTTGCAGGCCAAAACGTTATAAGCTGTCCGATTTGTTAGATTGGTTCCATAAAATATGTATAGTTAATCCAATTGAGTATGGTTATAAAAGAACACATCTGAAATATAGTCCGCTTTTCCAGCTTAAGGTGTATGTGAATGAATTCATAACTTTCGCATATCCATTTGGATATTTGCAGTGGGAATACTTAGAAAGGGTATGCTTTAATATTGCAAAATACAATCGTATTATTGTATGTATAAAATGAATGTAAATTCAATTCACGTGATTCTCCGCATTATTAGATGATTGAACAAGTGACGTGATTTAACTTGATTTTGTTTCACAGGAATCTATATCTGACCATGTATCGAAGGAATTACCTACACTGGAAGATCTTGGTATCACGTTAACCACCATGGAGTCACGAATGCATTGGGAGTTGAAACCTTACCGCAAGGATTATGGATACATGCAGAGTGTTCACGAATTCGACGCTGTTCCTGATCCGCCGATTATTCCGATTCATTAAACTCCTCCAATGTGCTAGATTAAAATAAATATAGAATAAAATGTATACTCCTATTATTGTAAAGAATATATTGTTAATTAAATAATCGCGACAAGAATATACGTTAAATTATTTAAATTTTCATACTAGAGTTCTTTTAATTTTAGACACATCTTAATGAATTCATCGGATCTTCCGTTGTGTTCGCCAATAACTTGATGTCACGATTTCTTTACGCGTGCAAAAACCTGCCACTGTTGACACACGATGGTAATTAAATGGGTCCGGGATATCCTGTATATTTAGTATTAGCGTTTTATTCCATTTATTATATGACAGAACATTCTAGCTACAATGAAAGATTACAGTTCTTAATGACCGTGTCTATTAAACGCTATTTTAAACATTGGTAAAAAATATAAGCTAGGTTGGTCCTCGGTTATTATGCTGACCGAAGGCCAAGCAAATCTTACGTTGTAAGTGGCAGCGAAATACGCTTTATATAGTTTCTTTTTTTCCCTTTTAGTCGTAAGCATATATAGCATCATATGTATTTCGTAGCTCTGATTTAGTCCACAGTATACGTGTAGCTCTTGGACGCCAACGTGTTTTTATCTAGAAAGCATTTCTCACGAACTTGATTATATAAAGAACAAAACACATTTTGTGGCATACACCTTGCTTTAAAATTTTCTTCTACTCGGTATTTTCTTTCCCTATATCTCTTTTCTGCGGGATATTTACGTGATTTGTAACATCAAGTGAATACAAAACATTGGCACAGTAAACGTTTTTATACAAATTGTGTATACAACTGTTTACAGTATCAAATGTGGCTCGAGAGCATTTCGTATATCATCATGTTTCATAAGAGTCTCTGATTAGTGAATAATCCTCTGATGAATTAAGTCAGTTCTGGGAATTAAGTGAGCAGCATGAGCCGATTTCAGAGGCACGCTCGTGCTTCCCCCACTACTTCTCGAAGCGCGGCGGCCGAGCCGTCGATCGCGCGTAAGGGCCAGAGCATAGACTTCTGCATAACGCATAATACACAACGCATAAGAGAATCAACCAATTAGAGTTTTTCATTTCTGTCCTGAGGAGGGAAATGAAAAAAACTAATTGGTTTATTCTCTTATATGTTATGTATTATGTGTTATGCAAAAGCCTATGCTCTTGCCCTAAGACGCTCTGCCTCAGGAACGGTCTCATATACGACATAAGATGGGATCGCACCCTCTGTCAAACCAAAAATAAAATATTTATTTATCCTTAAAAAATAATTCTTACTCTCATTAATGATGAAATATTACGCTTTTATTTCTAATATAATAAATTCTCTTCAATAATAATATAGTGATAACAATAATTAAGAATATAATTATTAAAATTTTGTTAATAGATTTCTACATCATCTATGAGGTACTATTGTTGATGCGTTTTTTTTTTTAAGTGGCTTTCCCAGTAGGCCTACTCCACTTAAAATTAATGAAAATGAAATATATGGCTCAATAGGAAAACGAAATGCTACATCGTAAGAAATATAAAAACGAAAGAGGAAGAATAAGTACACAGCGCAAAATGGCCAATTTTTATAGAAATATTAATTGATTTTTCTTGCTCGTTTACATGTCGATTTTACTAGGGATGATATATCCACAGAGATTTTGGAAGAGTACGCATCAACAAAGATAGTGATGCATCGCTCAAAGATGAACGTTTGTCTGTTTTTATGATTTTCATTTTGGAAAAAGAACATTCGCATAAATATGTAGACCCAAACATAGAGAAAATTCGAAGACCGAAATTTCTAAGATGTGGATAACACGATGCGTCTAAAATTTTGAAGAATTCGACACCCTTTTCCTGCCGTGCTTTTAGCGAAAGATCATATTGCAAATCGCACAATTCTGCCTGAAGATGTAGACGTTGTTCCTCGATTTGCACAGTGAGAGGATTCTCAAAGAGTATTAAATCTTTTCTTAGCATTTCGAAATCACTGCGTATCAAAACGCGTATCAAATTGTAATTTCGTTAAACAATGCAATGTTAGTGATTCTTTAATAAATCAGTTTGATACGCGTTTTGATACGCAGTGATTTCGAAATGCTAAGAAAAGATTTAATACTCTTTGAGAATCCTCTCACTGTGCAAATCGAGGAACGTTTACATCTTCAGGCAGAATTGTGCGATTTGCAATATGATCTTTCGCTAAAAGCACGGCAGAAAAAGGGTGTCGAATTCTTCAAAATTTTAGACGCATCGTGTTATCCACATCTTAGAAATTTCGGTCTTCGAATTTTCTCTATGTTTGGGTCCACATATTTATGCGAATGTTCTTTTTCCAAAATGAAAATCATAAAAACAGACAAACGTTCATCTTTGAGCGATGCATCACTATCTTTGTTGACTACTACCTCGTCGTACTACCTCTTCCAAAATCTGTGGATATATCATCCCTAGTAAAATCGACATGTAAACGAGCAAGAAAAATCAATTAATATTTCTATAAAAATTGGCCATTTTGCGCTCTGTACTTATTCTTCTTCTTTCGTTTCTATATTTCTCACGATATAGCATTTCGCTTTCCTATTGAGTCATATACAGGGTGTTATAAAAGTCCGGGAAGAGCAGAATAACTCGAAAAATATGAGTCCTAGAAAAAATGCGAAGTACTGGGTTTTTATGATTTTTTCCTGGCTATCTGACGATGACCTTGGATTTGACCTTGACAATGACCTTGAAGGTCATTTCAAGGTCAGGTCAATTTTTTTAAATGGGATTCTATACTTTTGACCCCAGAAATGAAAAGAGCGGAAAATTTTACGTTCGGATATGACCTTGAACACTGCCAAATTTGACCTCTGAAGGTCACATAAAGGTCTAAGCTTGTTTTAGGCTGAAAACGCGAATATCTTCGAAAATGCACTTGCTAGGGCGCAATGTTACGCATAAGAATAAGAATGTAGAGGTCAACGAGGGACATTCAGCCGTGACCTTGCCCTTATTCTCAAGGTCATGAGTTAAGATTATTATTAAGATCAAACCGGATTTTTTAGGACTGAAAATCCATACTTTTGACCTAAAAGTGTCAAGATTGAAAAATTTTACGTTCGGATATGACGTTTCCAACCTTGACCTTGTTCTTAAGGTTATGTGTCAGTCATATCAAGGTCAATTAATTTTTTTAGGCTGGAAACACATACTTTTACCCCCCCCCATAATGTGAAAAGTGAGATTTTACGTTACGTACGAGGTCACATTCCGATTGTTGGTAATTCCTGAATATCGGACGCCATTTTAGATCGGTCATCTTGAATATGTAAAATCCAACGTCGGATTCAATTTCAGAAACGACTTCAAAAACTTTTTAAACGAGATCCAATTTTTGTTATCCTTAAATATCGGCCGCTATCTTGAATCAGCCATCTTGAATTTGCAAAATCCGACGTCGGATTCGGTTCCCTCGTTGACCTCAACATTCTTATTCTTACGCGTAACATTGCTTCCTAGCAGGTACATTTTCGAAGATATTCGCGTTTTCAGCCTAAAACAAGCTTAGATCTTTATGTGACCTTCAGAGGTCAAATTTGGCAGTGTTCAAGGTCATATCCGAACGTAAAATTTTCATTTCTCAAAAGTCATGGGGTCAAAAGTATGGGGTCCCATTTAAAAAAATTGACCTGACCTTGAAATGACCTTCAAGGTCATTGTCAAGGTCAAATCCAACGTCACCGTCAGATATCCAGGAGAAAATCATAAAAACCCAGTACTTCGCATTTTTTCTAGGACTCATATTTTTCGAGTTATTCTGCTCTTCCCGGACTTTTATAACACCCTGTATTTCATTTTCATTAATTTTCAGTAGAGTAGGCCTACTGGGGAAGCCACTTAAAAAAAAAACGCATCAACAATAGTACCTCATAGATGATGTAGAAATCTATTAACAAAACTTTAATAATTATATTCTTAATTATTGTCATCACTATATTATTATTAAAGAGAATTTATTATATTAGAAATAAAAGCGTAATATTTCATCACCAATGAGAGTAAGAATTATTTTTTAGGATCAATAAATATTTTAATTTTGATTTGAGGGAGGGTTCGATCCCATCTTATGTCGTATATGAGACCGTTCCTGAGGCAGAGCGCGATTGGCGGCTCGGCCGCCGTGCTTCGAGAGGTAGTGGGAGAAGCGCGGGCGTTGCCTTTGAAATCGGCTCGTGCTGCTCACTTAATTCCCAGCATTGAATTAAGTTTTCGTGTGTCTTGTAATGCGTGTTACAATGATAAATTATTTTCTAGAGCAACACGCAAATTTGGCAATAGAATAATGTGACAGAATTTCAGTAACAATCTCCATTTTCGTTACGATCGAACTTTTCGTTCGATTATCACGATTAGGAATGTACGATACATGTGTACAGGAGTTATAAAAGAAGATTCACAAGTTGATGAATTATTCGCCTAAAATATTGAGCATATTCACTTCTCTAATATGTTGCATTCTTATGAATAATACGCGAGTTAAAAGGTATCAACAAGATGGTAAACTCGATAAAATTAAATTTAATAAAATATACGTAGTCGAAACTTAAATATTTTATAGGAATAGACTTTTCCTAATCTTAATCTTACAAATGTTTGGAATGTATAACTGAAACTTTTGAACATCGTGAAGGAGAAATTAACGCTTTTCGAAGATGGGAATATTCTTGTCACAGTAAATAATATATTAAACAGCCGCGATCAATGCATCTCGCGGAACGAATCGTTGCCAATTCCCTTTGACATACCAATCTTGTTTCCTTTTTCTCGCCAAACATTATTCCCGATTTACAGCGTGTCGAGTACTCTCTGATGATCCTTGCGCGTTAACGCAATTAAACATATATACTTAATCACTAGGTACTTTCATCGGTTTCGAATTATGTAAATAATTCCTTAGTTCGCTAATAGAATCGGATAGCAGGTGTACGGGGCGCAGCGAGGCGTTCTTGCGTACGAAAGTAAAGTTTGTAAAAATACATCTCATCTAGAAAAAAGAAAGAATTTTAGATATTAACTAAATGTTACAGAAATTTTGAAATATTACAGCACTTA